CGTCCAGCAGCTCATCAGGTGCCGCTGTAATTCCGGCTGCAGCAATGACAATTAAGTTTAAGTTGTCGCATATGACTACATCTATGGCATTAGAGATTGCTGCTATTAGGGCTGCTTTACAATATCTCGTTCAACAACGTCCAGGAAAACGGGTCATATTCTGTGATTCGAAGGCAGCGCTTCAGAGTTTGCAGTCTGCCATGCGTAGGAGGAGTCATGACCAATTGGTACAAGAAATAGGACATTGCCATCATGAAGCTCTAGCACGAGGGCATGATATTATATATCAATGGCTGCCCGGACATATCGGTATTACCGGAAATCAATTAGCCGATGATGCAGCCCACTCAGCCCATGAAGGAACCCGTGTAGTGCCGATTCCTCTATCAAGAAATGATGCAGCAAGACAACTTTACCTGCTGGCTCGAGATCTCACACGCACGTTCTGGTCGTCTACCAGCTTCCAAAGGTGTCAATTTTATGAACTGGATCCTTCGCTCAAGCTAAAGCTACCATCACAACTTTCCCGCTCCGATGCGACACTGTTATGCTGCCTTTGGTTGGGTGTTGCATTTACAAAGGTGTACTCCTTTCGCATTGGTATGGCAGACACTCCTACATGCGACTACTGCGGAGCTGAAGAGACCATCGAACACGTCCTGTGCAGCTGCGCTTGCTACGACACACAGCGATGCCAGCTACGGATGGTTTTGAATCGACTTGACCCCGGACCATTTAGTGTGCAGAAGATACTAGGACCTTGGGCATCTGCCTCAGTTGCGCACAAAGCAACTAAAGCACTGCTACTTTACCTAAAGTCAACAAACCTGAGCGACCGCCTGTAGACTGTGTGTGCTCCCCGAGTGTGCTCGTGATTGTGTGTACCTTCTCATCTCTCTGCAACCTCTTTTCTCCCCTTTATCCCTTCCCCAGTGCAGGGTAGCAAATCGGATGTGCGTCTGGTTAACCTTCCCTGCCTTTCCTCGCATCTTCATCTCTCTCTCTCTTAATCTACCATTTATTGACTGGGAGCAGCTGTCATGTTCTTGTAAGTACTCATCTGACTTCATTAACTTTACTTTAGACTTTGATTTGGCTCAGGTTGTCACTCACTCAACTCGCGGTTCGAATACACTTGACCTAGTTCTTACAAACTGCACCTGAAACTATAGACCACATTAACTATTTGAATGGCTTTGGTGACCACAAACTGCTGCAAGTGTATCTTTCTATCTTGCCACCTTTTGCAGGAACCGAATAAAAAAAATTAGAGATTATAATAAAGCCAATTATGAAGCCATTAACAGGAAACTTGAGTCTTTCCTTCACAATGTGCTACTGCTTTCATTTTACAGTCGCTCACTTGAGGAAAACTGGGTTATTTTCAAGAATGAGATTTTGGCCCTAATAGGAAAACACGTGCCGTTGATAACAATTACGAATGATAAAACTAATTCATGGTTCAACAAGTCTTTGCGCAGACTTAGAAACAAAAAGAAGCGGCTTTATCGGTCTGCAAAAAATTCGCGTTCACACACGTCTTGGGATAGATACGAGGAATGCCTAGAGAAATATTGCCACGAAATTACAACTGCGAAAAATAAATACTATTCCCAGGATTTTCCTTCACTCCTATAATCTAATCCAAAAAAATTCTGGAAAGTAATAAGTCCTGATCACGACGATAACTTCATTTCTTTACACGATGCAAATAACACTCCTTTTGCAGACACTGATTGTCCTAATGTCTTTAATTCATTCTTTTCATCCGCGTTTACTTGCGAGCATGATCATCTTCCAGAAATTTTTGAACGCGATTACTCATTCATGTCACCTATAGATATCACAATTGAAGGCATAGTTAAAGTTATTGAAAATGTGAAGATGTCATCATCTTCTGGTATTGACGATATCAATTCAAAAATAATAAAGAACACTGTTTATGTGTCTGGCACTATCCTGTTTCACATTTTTCGGCAGTCGCTCACTACAGGAATGTTGCCTTCTGACTGGAAGATAGCGAAGGTAGTGCCAGTCCATAAAAGTGGTAGTGAAAGTTCTCTTGGAAATGATCGCCCCATTTCCTTGACGTGCATATGTTGCAAGATTCTTGAGCATATCATAGCTTCTAACATTTATGCGCATCTAGGATCTAACGATTTCTTTTTCTCTAACCAGCACGGGTTCCGAAAGGGTTGTTCTTGCGACACTCAACTCTGAGTTCACACCGACCTACATTCTCATATGAACAGTAATCTACAGACAGATTGTTTATTTCTTGATTTTGCAAAGGCATTCGATCGTGTTGCTCATTGTGCCGCTTGATATTAAAACTGTCATCACTAAAACTTTATTCACTCACGCTAACATGTATCAGAAACTTCCTAACTAACCGCCAACAATTCACTATTGCCAACAATCACTCTTCATCACTTTGTTACGTTTCCTCTGGTGTACCACAGGGCAATGTTCTTGGTCCCTTACTTTTCCTCATCTACATTGATGACCTGCCTGACAACTTATCCTCATGTATGCGTATAGTTGCCGATGACAGCATTATCTATCGTCCCATTCGCAACAATAGCGATCATCTAACTCTTCAAAAAGGCCTCGGGCATATTATTGAGTGGTGCAAAACATGGCAGATGACACCTAATGTTTCCAAATGCACACTAATCACCTTTCGTCACAAACGTGATAACTTTAATAGCCAATATATAATTGATTATAGCATTGTAGAATGCACTGATCATTACAAATACCTAGGCATAAACTTTCGTTGTTCACACATATCACTTCTATCTGTGCCAACACATCAAGATCATTAGGTTTTCTGTGCCGAAATCTATACAGCGCTCCCTCTGATGTGTGCAAACTGGCTTATCTTGCTCTAATCCGTCCTCAACTGGAGTTCGCAGCCTTCATTTGGTCACCATATCAACAATACCTTATAGATAAGTTAGAATGTATACAGAACAGAGCTAGTCGATTCATAGCGCGTAATTACCGCTACCCGTCCAGCGTAACACAGATTAAACATAGCCTTGCACTCGAGCCACTGAAAATTGGCCGCGACATGTCACTTTTATCACCATTTCACAAACTCATCCACACCAGCATGATGCCATCTGTTCACCTTAAACTAGCACATCTATCTTCGAGCAGACTACATAACACCTTTAGCTTGTCACGCATGTACGCCAATACTAACGCTTTCAACCAGTCGGCTCTTCCACGAGCTTTCGTTTGTGGAATGATTTGCCTGATGATCTTGCGTCAGAACAAGACCACACAAAGTTCTATCATACTCTTAAAAAATACTTATGCACGAAAACTGCTCTATCGCATCTTCGTAATCATCTGTGCTTATAGGACTGTTGCCGATGTTTTTGCACTATTGCTAGGTTGTAGTTACTGTCATAATATTTTTTGTATTTCACCTTCACATACTCTAAGTCACTTTTCTAGTATGTATTTTGCTTACATGTTCATAAGTTGAAATGCATTTCCTATTATATTCAATATTTGCCTATGTATGTGTAGATATATATGTATATATATTTTTTCTAACATATTATCTGTACCGCCCCCCATACACAATGCCCCTCGAGGGCTCTGTAAGGTACTGTATATAATAATAATAATAATAATAATAATAATAATAATAATAATAATAATAATAATAATAATAATAATAATAATAATAATAATAATAATAATAATAATAATCTGAAAATTATATTGATGATGATGATGATGATGATGTGAATCATAGTAATGACCCTCGCTTAAGATATGTTGCGATTTTACCTCAAGTGCTAATATCAGGTGCCTTTTTGAGGTAGTCTAACATGTAAGGATGACGAAAGCGTTGCGTTTAATGTTTATGCAAAGGTTTAGGGGCGAAGCTTTTTATAACGGCACTCGTTCGTCGCTCGTAGCCGTTGTAGTATGTAACAAGTATAACATTTTGACCTCTAAGGTGGTGCCGGTGAGAGATTTCTTCTGTGCGTTGTTGAACAATAAAAAAATAGTGCTCAATGTACATGCCAATGGCTGCTAGTGGGGAATGAGAGACAGGAGAATTTGGCTTTTATTTAACGCGCACGCTGCAATCCCAATTAGCAGCCATCGGCATGTACATTGAGCACTATCTGACAAAAAATGGTTGCTACGTTATACTCGCTGGGTGTAACCTCCTTAGTTTTAGAAAGGTTTAGCGAGCGTTGAGCCGCAGGGCCATGAATACAATGAACTAGTATATACCGTGAATGAACTCGTGGTGGTTAAAGGTTGGAAGTAGATACAAAGCGCAAGCCGTAAGAAAGTAAAAGCCGAATTTTTCTGCCTCTCATTTCCCATTAGCATTCATTGGCATGTACATTGAGCCCTATCTTACAGGAAAAGTTTGCTACGTTATACTCGCTGGGCCTAACCTTCTTGGTTTTACAAAGATTTAGCGAGCGTTGGGCCGCAGTGCCATGAATACAGTGAACTAGTATATACCATGAACTCAAGGTGGTTAAAGGTGGGAAGTGGACCCGAAGTGCAAGCCGCAAGAAAGTGTGCGTGTGCCGCCTCTCGTTTAGGCCTTAGAATGTCCGCTGGATGGCGGTGCTTCTATATGCGGAATATATGATGAAAAGATGCAAGATGGTGGTACTTGGAGTGTTGAATAGATGGACGAACGGACACACAGACAGATGGATGGATGGACGCACGAACAGACGCAACAGACGCACGCACGTACGGGCGGATGGACGCTTGGACGGTCACACTGATGGATGCATGGACGGACGGAAGCAAGAACGAATGAACGGACGAATGCTTCGCCCCACTCTCCCTCATTCAGTGCGTGGATATGCTGCCAATTTTTACAAACTATGCGCCTTAATTTTCAGCCACCTATCTTTTGGCATACTTAATGAATGAAAAAGTGAGTGAATGAATGTATTCAGAAACGGTGGGATTGAATTTTACCTCATGTACTTTTTTTTCAGTGGGAGTACCAACAGTAGAACTTCCCGAAACGCCACAAGTGGCAAATGCCCCGCAGTAGGAAAAGTAAGTACTCATGTACTGGAGATTGAGGTAGTTTTAACACAACCGCTTACTTATTCAACGAGAATAAGAATGGTGTTTATATACAATGGACGTTATGTTTACCATCGTCATTGTTGTTCACTGCGCAGTTGCTGTGTTAAAATCTCAGGCTGGACTACGAGAGCTGTTGAAAAAGAGTAATGCACAGGTTATTGAAACATTACGTTTTGACGTTGATCGTGTGTAAACTGGGAATATGTTTCTGTACGTAAAAATAAAAGCATTTGTGTCCTTCCTAAGTATGAAATGACCCAGGAGCATCATTGAATCCCCTTGGAATTTCTTTTTAGACAGTGTAGAAGTTAGATACGTTTTATTAGGTATATTGAAATGTATCGACTTACTCAGACGTGCCCAACCTGTCGAAATCATCATGAACAAGGTTCCCATATGATAGCCGGAACATTTTGTTTGCTTTAAAGTGTGCTCATTGCGGCCGACGTTTCTTCTTTTTTCTGTTATGCCTCCTCCCAACGAGACGGTATTCCGCGAAACCCTGGTTCCCTTGAATGTCCCGTTTGAGAAGTGCCCTTTACCAAGAGAATAATAATGATCAAAATGCAAAAAAGCAAAAAAGCGGGCAAAGGTACCCTCAAAAACTAATGCTCACATGATCGCCAGCAATATTTTATCGCGCACATTGTTGTTTCATAACATTTACAAATCGTCTTAATACTTTGGAGAGTGAGTTGAAAAGAAAAAAATGATGTGGAATGAAAATTAAGAGCCCTAAAAACGCACTGCAATTCATTTAGAGGCTTAATTACTTATCTGCTTATCAATTTATACTTTTATTTATTTATTTATTTTATTTTTCCAGCATTGTGACCCTCAAGTACCCCATTCCTGTCCAAACAACTGCGAGTGCTTTTTCGACTACTCCATAGAAAACGA